TTCTGAATAGAACTGTTCCTTTTCTTTGGGCACAAAATAAATATACCGTACTTTAAAAATTGGACATATAAATGCACAATTGTAATTACTTTTTAGATGGCAGTCCCCAAGGTACAAACAAAATAGGCTCTGTAGGTTTGTTCTTAAGATGAATTTGTATGTGCAACTCCAGCCAAATATACAGTGGAACCTCAACTTAAGAGCCTCCCAACCTTGAAGCATTTTGAGTTAAGAACTGTTGCTTGGCCTGGGTCTGCTTTGTTCTTGTCCACTCTGAGGAACGTTGGGTTACTTGAGTTTGTGTGGTTTTTATTCCTCATATGTTTGGCTTCATGAAGAGAGAGAGAGAGCAAGAGAGAGAGAGAGCAAGAGATGGAGCAGGCTGGAATGAGTACAGTATGAAGAAAATGATGCCTCTTCACTTTTCTCTTTGTGCTTCCTTGCCACAACTTTGTGCTTCCAAGGGATAAGTTTCTCTCATTTCCTCACTTCATCACACCCCAGTTCCTAACTATGAGTCGTTTGTAAGTTGGATGTTTGCAGCTCGGGGACTGCCTATATACTATCCTCTATTTCTAGGCAAAATCACACATATTGAACATTATCTTGCATTTGCCTCATGGTAGTTAAAGGTGTCAAACCACGTTCATGCATCCTGTCTGTCACACTCTCGCTCTACTCCACTTGTATCCCTCTAACCATAATGCAGTAGGACATCAACAGCACTACAGTTTTCCAATTCCTATCTCCCCCTACCCCACGTTTTTCTTTTTGTTGCTCCTGCTCCCTCCACTGTCTTTTAATATGGAAAGAAAAAACTTAGGGAGGATGGCAGGCAGGAGAAAACAGTGGTAGGGAAGGTTGAGGATAATACCGCAGCTATAGTTATGGTGACAGGAAAAAGACATATTATTGCATGGATTAATACTTATCAAATTTATATTTTTACTTAGGGTGGGATTTTTGTTTGTTATTTTAGTCATAACCCCTAATGTAACTAAAAATCGTTGTAATGTATCTAATCTTTCATTGCTCTGAACAAATTTCAGATTACTGGTATCAATGTCTGCCTTTGTAGGCTATCCAGAAGTTCATAGTGAAATACATATGGTCTTGTAGTTGTCAAGTCTGTTAGAGCCTCCTTTGGCAATTCTGGTTTCTGATCAGTTTCCCCTTTCATTTTCAAGCTCAGAACATTTTCTCTTCTAATTTGTTCTAGAAATCATGTCCTAATTTAAGTAATCCTACTTCTGTAATTATTTCTGAATAACATCTGATGGGTTCAGGCTTTTCTTTCTCTGTTTCTAATTGTTATGTTTTCATTTTGGTCTGCTGCTGCTGCATACTATAATTTCTTATTGAATAATCATGCCCTCCCTATTGTCACTAATGTATGATTTCAGCGATCCCATGTTTTTCCTATCCTATGAGGACTACATTTGGTACATTCTGGGAGGAAAATGTATAGAATGCAAAAAAATGTTATTATGTGGTTCAATATAAAATAGTTTAAAATAGTTTTCCTGGGTTTTAAATTGTCTTGTTTTATTTAATATGTTTTAAACATTTAAAGTATTTATTATTATTTGATTTTATTGTAAGCTGTCTTGAGATATAAAAATTTAGGGTTGAATATAAGTATTCAAATAGATAGATAGATAGATAGATAGATAGATAGATAGATAGATAGATGAATGATAGATATTGTGTCCCTCCAAATAATTTCCATTTAATGCAGTAGTTCCCAACCTTTGGGTCTCCAGGTGTTTTGGACTTCCAACTCCCAGAAATCCCAGCCAGCTTACCAACTGTTATGAACTTTAGGAGCTGAAGTCCAAACCACCAGGAGGCTCAGAGGTTGGGAACCACTAATTTAACTGCAACCCTAAGGCAACTCCCATCACAAGATTTGTTTGGGAAAGGGGTGCATTTGACTTCCTCTGAGGCCAAGAAAGCGTTACTTCCCCAAGATCACCTAATGGATTTGCATGGCTGATTACTTCTAGTTGTTTCTGTTAGGAGCAGTGGAACCTTTGTGTCGATATGCACTATACACATTATTAATACTGAAGATGTTTACATAGTTGGGCACTTCTGAAAACAGACTCCTGCTGAGTCAAGTTCAACCTGTGTTCTAAATGTCAGTTTGGATCCTATGTTGAGTTCCTCTTTTCAGCCTTGTGGACAATCCAAAAACAGCTATAACATTTTCAAAATTGGATAAAATCAAAGGACATACCAAAGTTAGCAAACTTCACTATTTGGCAGATTCTGGGTGGAATCATGCCCATCAGACTTAAAAAAACAAGTTGGAGAGTGGAGTTTGGGCTGCTCTTTTTTTATGCTGTTTTCCTTTTAAGTTCCCTTTCTTATATGACTGTATTTTGCTATTTTAATGTTTTTAGTCTAATATGCAATATGATGTTTTTTAATTACTGTTTGTGATATTACTGTTGGAAACCGGCCTGAGTCCCTCGATGGAAGTGAGAAGACCAGTATACAAACCTGCTAAATAAATAAATAAATAAAATTTTCTCCTTCCCCTCAGAAGTTTTGTGATATTGCTACTTTATAATTACATCAAATAAGGCAGCAGGGAAAAGCAGCTATAAAACCCATAAACCAAGTGTAAGGAAGGATAATTCACAAATTAATTGAGATGTAATGATTAAAGTTAGGAAGTCTTGAAAGTAGGTGACTGCCTGAGCATTGGCCTATGATTCTGCAGACTGGGGTTCAATTCTCTGCTCAGCCATGGAAACTCACTAGGTGACTTTGAACAAGTCACACACTCTGGGTCCCAAAAATGCCTTAATAGATTCATCTTAGGTCACCATAAGTCTCAAACAACTTCAAGGCACAATACAATAAACAACAACAATGGGGCTAAAGCAAAATAAACAGGTGGACTTCTAAATCCAGGAAATAATTCGAATTAAGTATGTCATGGAGTTCTGAATGTCTTGTGGAGAAAAGAAGAAGAGGTTAGAGAAGATCTGTTGTTGTAGTCCACACAAGAGTACATTTTGTTGTATTTATCAAGGAGAGTTATGATATTCTGCAGTCTAAAATAGATAGAAGGGAACAACAGCAGAATTGGGAAAGGGAATTACAGGTAAATAGAGAAAACATGTGGTCATTCCAATCACATGGAAGTTTTGATAATATATATGGACTGGGTTCAAAGGAGTTCTTGAACAATGTAGTATAATACAGTTTTTAACAGCAATACGTGGGTATCTAGTGTTAACACATTCAAATTTTGTTACACATAATGATGTAAGAAAAAGATTCATAAATGTATTTATTGATCAGGAAACTTGGAGCTCTTCTCATCAAGATAGACTAAAAAGCTATAGGGTTTTCCCCATAAAACACTTCATCAACTTTAAATGTACATCTGGAGAAACAGATGTCTCCCTTCACTCTAACTTGTCTACAGAGTTAAAGATTTTAGCAATAATTTTAGAAGTAGTTAAAATGTTTTGCCACATGATAAGGATCTCATAGTACCCACCTTCTGTTTCTAATGTAGGTTCAACAATGGAATAAAGCATGAAGATTACGTTATTAGTCACATTATTGCCTTGTAAACTTAATGAGCTTATATATTATTGAAAAGAGTAATGTTGTTCTTGTTAGAATAATTGAGTTCTAATAGTTTTGCTATTGCAAAATAGAAAAAGTTGATTTCTATGTAATGTAAATAATATATTTTCGCCAGAGTCTTCAGTAGTTAATTTAAACAGGTTTGGACTGGGACTATATTGAACTACAGTATCGTTTCTCTCTGTATAAGGGACCATGGCTCTGTCAATTAAATCTGGCCCCCAGTAGTTTGCATTTGGGTTGCTCCCTGACCCTAGGAAGAATCTACACCGATTCAAAACCTGGGACCAATCCAGTGTATCAATCACCAAATTGAATCCAGGCATGATCCTCAAAGGGAGTCCTCCAGCAATGCAAAGGTGGGAAGAAATCCCCATCATCTAGCAGCACTGAATGTGGTTCAGTGCTGCTGTGGGGACACCCTAACTATTCCCTCGCATCCTCCCTTCTGCCATGACATGGATCCTACAGTATCTGTCCACCATTGCATGCCAAGATGTCATCCAGCATCCCGGGGGAGGGGGAGAGGAAGAAACCCTCTCTTTCCCCTCCCCTTTCCAATATATACTGCAACTCTGCCCAGTATTATGGCATGCAAAAGTGGATAGGTAGGGCACATGCTGTAGATACCATCATGACATGGGAACAGACATCCTCTGTTCCCAGATTACCTATGTCTGTGAAACGAGGGTTGGCAGTGGGGAGAGTTGCAGCCAGTTCCATTTTGGAACCAGCCCAAATGTTCCCACAGGCCCAAAGCCACAGAATTTGGATTTGCAAGGTAAAACCAGATTAAGGTGGCTTTTCTCTGCTTTACCCTTGATCATTATCATGCAGTGTTTGACCACCATGGGTCTGATCCACCTATACACTGACCTAAGATCACTAAGAAAGAAAGGCAGAAATAAATATAAAAGAAAATCATTTCCTCTCTATAAGAGATAATCATTTTTTTGTACATCACAGGCAAAACTTACAGGTATGGTTCATACTGAACAAGGGAAGAATTGCATGGATAAACAAGTCCTCTTAGGTGTCTTCCAGAGTCACCTCAAGATTTAGTATATGTTGCAGTATAGGTTATTTTTAGTGATGTGCCAAACACTGAAGTGGTTTATGAAATTTTTAGCGTCCTATTTTCCCATAAAAATCCACAAAGATACCACTTTTCTTGTTTTTGGAAACTGGCTCCTTCTAAAGTATCAAAATAAATGAATGCAATTTTCTGGGATCCTGTTGATAAAGCTCCTTGGGAATTATTATGGGTGGGTTCATTTATTTGTGAAGTGTGCATATAAGTGCACAACAGCTTGCATTTTATAGTTTATTTTGCATGTTATTAACTATGCTATTTGTGACTGTAATTTTCTTATTCTTTTTTTCATAATTAGGATATCCTGGTGCAGTTTTAAAGGAGAGTAATTCTCATTTCTGGAAGAAAAGAAAAGTTAGTCAACTCCATGGAAGACACTCAGGATTTAAATGAACAGACAGTAAGTAAACACTTGAGTAGCCAAACACATACTTCTGTTTTGTGTGAGTTTTGTTCACAGTACTCTTTCTGCTTGCTATATTGTTTCAAAAATTAGGTTATAGGTGTTTGTCATAAAGCAGTTTACTGTATAGAAAATTGTCCTCTTGTGTGTATTGTCTTGAATGATTACATATTCAAACATCATACATAATCATACAAAATTAAAATGTGTTGGCTATAATAGAAATTCCAACAGCAGTATTTTGTTGTTATATGTATTGGGCCAACCAAAAAGGCACAAAATATATGCAAGCTTTTGAAATATTTAGATTGGGAAATATATAGACAGGGGTGAGAAAGGAGAATGAGGGAAAAGTTTGATATTAAGTCATATTATCTGCATGTTGTTTTTCAAATGCAATGGAAAGGAAGACTCTCAAGTAGGATTTATCAGATTATATGTTTTCATCTGGAGCAGCCCCAAAGTTTGTTGGCCATGGGAAACACAGAAAAGTTTGTCCATTTTAAAAACAAAACCTCCTTTTCTAAACTCAGAACTGTTGTCATCCTGCATTAAGCCAATTGATGATGGAAAGAAGAGAATCACCTAGCTGTTTTTGTACTGATGAGTCTGGAAATAATATTAGATGCTATAGTAGGTAAATAATATCAATAGAAGCCAATTACATATCCTTAGTTAGTGATAATGTTACCATTTTTCCAGAATGGATTTTTCACCCAAATGTAGAGTGTTTTTTAACTTATAACTCTAAAAAGCCTTGTGTTCATTAACTGTGAAAATTATTACTGAGGTTTGAAGCCTTAAAGAAATAGCAATGGTTGTTATTTTGGAAAAAGTCAAAAGGCAATGGAGCATTTTAGTATACGTTAGTTATAATGATAAACTGTTTTGGTAAACTGTAGGCTTGTGTACGGATTTGGTTTGGTCTTGTTCAACGGGACATAACAGTAAGGGCTCAGCTGTCATGTTTTTTTCAGCCAAAATGAGCTACACAGACACAGCTCCTCCTATCCTATTTGGCATCATGCGGCATGTGAAGAGGCTGCCGCATGCACGGACAGGGTTTGTCTGTGAGCCCTGCCTGTTGGGCCAATCAGAATAGAAGAACACTGTGACATGTCTTATGCAAGCTGTGCCTGTTTAATGGGGTGAGCACCTCCGTTGCTCTCAGTTGCGTCCTGGCTCTAGAGAGGTGCTTCAGTCTGATTGCCTTTCCACTCGTTCTCAGCTTTATTTTTTGACTTGACTTGGCCTCTATCTAGCATTGACTCTTTTCAATTTTCCTTTATTTCCATGATTTTTTTTTATTTAGTGGGACTGCAAGTTGGGAAAGTGCAGGACAGGTGGGTGGGGTGTGTGCATACGTTTAGGGATTTGGGAGAAAGAAAGAGCATCTTTTTGCTCTTGGTGTGCTTTTCTTTAAAATTATTGGGTGGCTCTGAGAGCCTTCAGTCACCCTTTGGCTTATTTTTCTCCTCCCCTCCTTTCCTTCAGAAAATATTTTTAAAAGATAAGAATTATTAATAATAATAATCCCAGTAAACAAACAGAAAAGTCTCATTCTCAGAAAAGTCCTACCTAGTTACCTATCTACCTATATATCTGTGTTTGTATGAGGTACATAGACCAAATTGTGCCCAAGATCCCAAATGTGGCCTTTTGCTGTTATCTACCACTGCTATCAAATCCTGAAAGAAAAGTTGTGCATTTGTTTGGCAGCCAGGAAGTGTAGTAGGGGTATGATTTTGTCAAGAAATTAATCAATAAGTATTATCTAGGTTTCATTACTTTCTGGGAGAGCTACTACACTCATGAGTCTAAATTAAATTTTTAGCCCTGATCAGAGTAGACCTATTGAATCCATACATTTGCCTATGTTTTAGCTCACTATTTGACAATTATTTGGATCTTCACTAGTTAGGGCTAACCAATGATATGTAGAAGAACAGAAGATTGGAAATGTATGGGTGTACTATATCTCACTTAGTAAAAAGAGATAAAGATGGGTAAATACTATTAATATCTTTATTCTAAGGTGATCCGAGACTGGATCTACATTGGCATATAATTCAGATTATCAAATCAGATAATTCACAACTGCTTTGAACTGGATTATATGAGTCTGCACTGCCATAAAATCCAATTCAAAGCAGATAATCTGGATTTTATATGGATGAGTAGATGGGGCCTGATTTAAAAGTTCAGTGCTTAGTCTGAACACAAGTTGAAACAAACATGTCAAACAATATTTTTAGTCAATATTTTTATCTGTAAGAGACACATGTTGGGGGGACCGACCAATAAACTGGAAACACACATGCATACATTCACACACACACAATCACACACATCTGCCTACTCAGCCTTACTTTTTGTTCACACATATTTAGTGATCACAGATGGGAAGACTTAAACCAGAGTAATTCACACTGAAATCAGTTATTTTTAGTGGGGGATAAGCATAAAATTGGACAGCATCAACATTGATTGGTGGGAACATGGGGAAGGAAAGTTAAAGCTAACAGAAAAGTACTAAAAGAGTAGCTCTCCTCCACTACTAAAAGTGGAGGAAAGTAAGTAAGGCTCCTTAGTTTCACAGACTGCATTGGGAGAAACCACAGGTCACATGGCTAGGTTTTTCTATCCCTGAGTTATGTAGCTGTAAACGTGACTTAATCAGATCTTCTGGATACACTTTTTCCAGAAAACAGAGCTAATGTATAATTGAGTTCACATATCCTTTCCTTTTAATTCTTGGAATGTTCCCAACACTACTAATGCTAATGTTATCATGAAATTTCATGACACATGGCAGGATATAAATATTTTAATATTTTAAATAATAAACAGCACAGAAGATAACGAAGCAGTTTCAGCCAATCTTGCCAAATAGATGAATACTGAAAGTTTTCTTGTTGATGTGAAATACAAATTTAGAAGGGAAATTGCTTCCTGGTTTCAAAATCTGTTTCTTTTCAGAAATCACCAGTCGCCATTCTGTTTAATAAATGTGTATAGCCTGTCCTCTATAAGCACTTGTATCTTAATTTTTGACCACAGACACTGCCATCAGTTGTAACAACAATGGCTCTGGTTAGTTTGTGCATTACCACTTTTGTTGCTATGTACCTTCTAGGTACAATCTACCTGAAGTGCGAAAATGATTGGAAGTTTCACTGTAACTCTGAAATATTCCCCACCTTTGCTTAATGCATGGTTAGCCCTATTACCCAGTCTGAAAAACCAGCAATCCCTGGACATTGTTTGGACATCCAGGAGTGAGTTCAGGATCATTTTGGATTTTAGGGTCAGGCCTATGTCTGAACATGCCCATAATTTGTCAATGAAAATCAGCATGTGTTGTTAAGTTTGTTTACAGCTGGATCCACACAGTCCTATATCTCAGGATCTGATCTCAGATTATCAATTTATCCCAGATAATCTGGCAGTGTAGACTCATATAATCCAGTTCAAAGTAGATAATCTGGGAACAGATCCTGGGATATAGTGCAGTATAGATCCAGCCTTAATCCTTGTTGATTCCCAATCATACCCATTGCACCAAATACTGGAAAGGTTGAGTATCTAAAATTACAAAATTTCAATTTCTCCACATGGATGATGGAGATAATGACATCTTTGCTTTCTCATACTTCGCTGTCCATAAACATTGTTTCGTGCACAAAATCATGTTTAAAATGTATACAATTCCCTCCAGGTTAGGTGTATGAAGGAGAATGGATTTAATGTTTAGATTTGAATCCCATCTCAAAGATGTCTCATTATGTACACATATACAAATAGTATTTCTTAATGACTAATTTTATAGAATGATGCACTGTTTCCTTTTAAATGGTACAGCCTTACTTTTCTTTTTCAAAGTGAAAACTGAACATGCAAAGAAGTGTGACAGGCTACTGTTAATAGTTACGTTGTATGAGTCTACACTGACCATTATAATGCAGTTCAGACTGAATTATATGGCAGTGTAGATGTGGCCTTAGGCTGGTTATAAAAAGGTTATAAAAGAGTCTCATATTACAGGGAAATCTGTAGGACTAAACTTCACCTTCGAAAAGGGTCAAGTTTTTCTTTATCTTTGGAACTTGCAGGAAATTCCATTGGCTCTTGTACTCCAGAATGAAAATAGCCAGGCGCACCACTTTTTGGCCCAATTTCATAAGAAGTATTTCATTTCATGATAAAGTGGTTTGAGAAGCTTTGCTTTAAAATGGTTGCAAGACAGATAATATATGATTTCATCTATGAATTCATGAAAATATTGCTTTGTGTGTGGAGTTTTGAAAACTACCTTCAGCCTGCATACAATGAACTTTTATATTTTTCCTGTTATGTAACTAAAGATGGCATTTCTCCCTTTGTTTCTCTATATCAACCTGATGCTTCTATATTCAGTGTTTTAGAGTTTCGTCTTATCTTAGATGCTGTCTCCTGGCCCTAACATGCCTTTCTCACACCCAGTTCACTTCCGCAGGTCCATATTACCCTGTCATCATGGCCGGAGGATCTATTTTCAGTTTCCCACAAGTCATAATAATAGAAGCCAGAATGCAGGGTTTCTGTCTCTGTGATTCATATTGTGTTCTCTCTTATATGGTAGGATTACCTCCTTGGGAAAGGATCTGCAAATCCTAAAATTGATTCTCTTTCAAGTTTTAGAGGTACACAAAACTGTAATACATACATCTTCAGCCTCAAATGTTACAGTGAGTGAGTAAAGATTACCAAAAGACAGAGTGATGAACAGAAATAGGGAAACAAAACTTTTCCCCAGTGTAGTTTCTGTGTAAATAAATTGTGGTCATATCTAATGTTTCTTCCAATTCCCTAATTTATATAGCTAAGGAACAAGAGAGAGCACATAAAACCAAACTCCCCAGAACCCCTCCCGCTCTCCCATTTTATTCAGGGTTCTGGAAAACCAGAATTTTAATGTCATGAGCGGCAGAGAAACATCTCATCTGTTTTCAGACCCC